ATAAGCCTCTGTGCGTCCAGTGGTATTAACCCTAAAGCTAACCTCTAAACCCCAAACCCTAAACCCTAAATGCTAATCTTAACTAAATCGCACCTTTATAAATAAGCCTCTGTGCCGCCACCGGTATTTGAGTTTTTTCTTCGCACTTCTCCTTCAGTGTACGTACACTCCAATCCTCATCTACATCGAGAGTAAAGTGGGTCCCCCCTGAGACCTTGAATGATATATGTACGGTTTTAGCTGGTGCTGCATCTGCTGCTGCTGCTGCTGGTGCTGGTGCTGCTGCTCCTTCAGATGCAGCTGCTGCTGCTGGGGGTGTTGTTGCTGCTGCTGGTGCCGCAGGGGCCTCCCCTCCCTGCTGCTGCCCGTTAGAAGGGTTTGACATTGCGAGCTGAAGCCACACCAACAGTAACGCTAAACCCTAAACCCTAAACCCTAAACCCTTGCGCCGCAGTAAAACATATGGATCTGAGGCACCCCCACTAAACCCCACTCCCTAGTGGCGCTAAGCGCCGAGTGCTAAACCCTAAACCCTAAACCCTAAACCCTAGAAACCCCAAAATGGGAGTTTGCCAAGGGTTTGTCTGCATAGAAGAGGGGTGATTAGGGTTTAGGGTTTGCTGTGCCTCGCTGCTGTTTGCTGCTTGTGAAGATAAGACAAGGCTAAGGTAAGAGAAGCAGCAGCTGTTTGTGCAGGTGGAGGGAAGGGATATAAGATGAGCCGCTACTGCCTGCCCTGTTGTTGCTGCTGCTGCTGCTGTTGTTGCTGCTGCTGCTGCTGCTGCTGTTGCTGCTGCAGCAAGAGAGCGACATACCAACAAACAAAGCCAAAGCAGCGGATGAATAGCAACTCCTCAAAATGTGTAATTTCATCAAAGAAAAAGAATTAGAGCTTCTTCTGCTCCCGCCACTCAAGCCGCCAGTGGAGCAGCAGCAGCTGCCGCCGCTCCTGCTGCTGCTGCTGCTGCTGCTGCTGCTGCTGCTGCGGCGTAGCCAAGAAGCGTGCTGCTGCTCTGGCAGCAAGAGGTTAACAGGTGTGTCTGAGTTGTGGGAATATTATAATTTGTTTGTTTTCTCTTTTATTGCATTTCAACAAAGATAATTAAAGAGGATTTAAGTATATGCGTAGCTGAGCTCTGCATATCCTAGCTATAAGGTGCTGCTGCCGCCAACTTCCTACAGTAAAGCATTTGTTTGTCTGTCTCTAGGGATATAACTCATTATTTCTTTCTATCTAATTGTAATATACTTAGCACTTAACATAGGGGGCCCCTGCATGCAGAGGGAGCTGCTGCTGTTTGCTCGCTTCCCTGCTGCTGCAGCAGCAGCACACCTCCCCATAAGAAACTCTATGCACTTTCACTCAAGAAGGTTAAGAAGAGAGCAGCAAAGAGGCAGCTATTAACTCTTTATATGTGCTAGAGACAGCAGCACAAAGGCATGGGGCTGGGGGAGACGAGACAGCCTGAGGTGTATGCTTTATTGAATGTTCAGACTGCACTTATTTTAGATATTGTTGCTGCATCACAGCTCTGTGTATATACTGTCTTCTATGGGTACTGGTTATAAGTAATGCAGCAGAGCATCTTCTCTTGCTAGCACAACTAACCCCTTTTGTTGTTTGTATTTACACGAAATAATATAACTCCGCACGAGAGGAAGCCTTCAAATCTATCAGCTTCGGTGCTGCACCATCAGCAAACTGCAGCAGGGTTAAAGCTTCGTGTTGCTCTTGTTGTTGTTGTTCTTGTTCTTGTTCTCGTTGTTCTGAATGATGTGCTCTGCTAATCGTCGAAAGCGCAGGGTGTATATATACAGTGGAGTGTACAGTGTGCAGCATTATTAACATTCGTGTATATACAGTGGATTGTACAGTATGCAACATTATTAACATCCCTGTATATACAGTGAAGTGTACAGTATGCAGCCTTATTAACACCCTTAGTGACGCCCTCTGTGTGCACGCATCTTAAGTTGCTGAGCCTATCCACTTCAGGAAGTGTAGCAAGGAGGAGTAACAATACTCATAGACCCCACCACGGGGCCTTCTGCATTAGGCAGTTGCAATAGTGTGGGTGGATTCTAGATAATACGGTGGTAATTAATACATTATATATAATATATATAATATATAATATAGTATATACTAAGTATATTATATCTTGCACATAATATAGATTGTGAATATATATAATGTTGTGAGCTGTAATGGAATCGAACACTGAACAAAGCCCAAAGAAGAGCTGAGCAGAGCTGCTTACTCCAGATATCTTACTCACAGCAGCCCAAGGGTCTGGGGCTGCAAGGCAGTGAGGTGAATGTCTGCTACTAGATGAAGAGCGCCTTGTTGCGCACACTGCTGCTGCAAGAGAACCTTGCATGCAAGCATAAGCAAGCTTCCGTTGTTGCATTCACTGAGGCTGTGCACAATTGGTATGCATTTACGCGGCGTTCAATAACCAGCCTCTGTAAAGTAGGGTTACACCCACCAACATCATCAGACAAAGAATGCTGTTTACCTCATCCCTTCTCCCGGAAGCAGCACACTTCCTCCGGTGTCTGATAGCCCTTGAGATCTAAATCTAAAAAGGGTTTGAATTTGTAATTGGTGTTGGCAGCGAAAGCATGGCCGGTTGCTTTTTCAGCCTCCGTCTGAATAGGCTGTCTGCGCTACTGACAGTTGAACTATTTTCTTTCTTAAAGGTTTTATCCTTTTGCTTTCTTCCCTGTTAACCGCCAACCAAAGATTATCTCCAAATGCATGCGCCTACGCTTAAACTTTGCCTTTTTTCAGCTTTTTCAACTGACCCGATATTTCCTTTTCGAGACGCGGGGGTCCCCTGTACCTCAGAGCAAACCTTGGGGCTGCTCTGGAAGTGAATTCACGGGGATGCATTGGGCGTCTAGAGAGTAGCAAACCTGCTAATATTTCTTCTTTATTTAGTATACATACTAAATATTCAGTAGTAGCAGTAGTAGTAGTAGTAGTAGTAGTAGTAGTACTAGTACTAGTAGTAGTAGTACTAGTACTAGTACTAGTAGGAGTTGTATCTGAGAGCCCTTTATTCAGTTGGGCCCACCTCTGCTTTTCCTCGGATGTTAACTCGATAAACCTCTCAACAACCGCAAGGTCATCACGACGGGGTGCATGCATTTCTTTTTTTCGGCGTCTCTGGAAGCATCTCTGCACAACGTAACAGCCACTTAGTTATTTCCTCCTTGATATGCTGCTTCAACTCCAATTACAGTAGAGGTAATTGGAGTGAAAGGGAAAGAATGGTTTTAAAAATGATATCATTGTCGTTTAAGCAACCAGAAAGTTAAGCGAACTGTAATGTAGATGATGCAAATGGCTTGGGGATCGCTGAGAAGTGAAACTTTCTTGATGTTTCCCGGTATATAGATCTACAGCTTGTTTATTTTTTACATTTGATTAAAGCGCTCTTTGATCTCTACATTTTTCTGGTTTTGTTTGCAACGAGGATAGAGTTCATAATTGCACAAACGCCCGAGACCTTTGTGCTATTGGTTTCTTCCTTGTAATAATAACATAACAGTTGCTAGTGCTTCTTCATCTACACATTCCTTCAGACTTCCTTCTCCCTTCTTATGCTTTCCATTAATTTGCAGCAGTTGAATAGAGCATGCATGCATGCATCGATGCATCGACGAATACACTGCCCTATGAAAAAAGACTAAATGCCCCCCTCTTACCAACAACTTTCTACTTCTGCGGTGTATACGCATGTTTGTCGTATCCCCCATTACAATGCTCTATTCTCTGCAGTCTCGTGGCATTCCCAATATATGCATATATGTATACATATATATATATATATATGCATATATGTATGTATATATACATATATATACGTATATGCATATAGTAATTTACTATTCAGTAACGCCTCTGGGTGTTGGCGCAGTTTAGCTTTCTGCTGTCCCGGCATTAACAGATGCAACACAAATAAGTGGAGTATGCATATGCCTAGTATATATATACATATATAGATAGATATAGATGTATATATATATATATATATTAGTAATATATATTTAATACTAAATGTAAAATAATAGAGTATGTATATTATTATTATTATTTCCAATATATATAACGAAGTACAATTAATAAATAGGCATCTGGATACAACAACAGTACGGATCTGCATGCGGTGTTTAGAAGAATATCACAAGGCCTTTTCTATGAAGAAATATATTACTATTACTTTCATTTGATATTATTTATTAACATTATTTATCAATATTTTTTAGTATTATTTATCAATGCCAGTGTTTTTATTATTTAGGAAAAATACTTCTTTTGCTTGGGAGGTGTACTCATATTATAGCTTTCTATGCACATTATTATTATTATTATTAATTATTTATTATTATTATTATTATTTGTTACTGTTATACAGGCTCAATATTCTTTTTATTATTCATTTCTCATACTCATATTATTATTCAGGCTTTATTTTATTGTTATCACGTTTTAAACGGTAACTTTATTACTCAGGCTTTATCTCCTTTATGCTCTCATTACTGTTTTTCTCATCTTCACGCGTATATAATATATATATATATACATATATATATATATATCCATATACATATGCATACATATAAATAAATAAATATATACATATTTCTATGTTGTGCGGGTTTTATTTTCTTTTGATTGTTTCTCTATACTCATATTCATTATTCAGGTTTGGGTTTTATTATCGCATTACTATTCACGTTTAATGTATGTATGTGAATAATATTACTTATTAACAATTACTATTAATAATAATAATATTATTATTATTATTATTGCCCTCATATTATTATTCAGAGAAGGGGCTTCCTTTTATATCTGTCATTATTTGCAAATGAAACAAACAAACGAAGAAAACACCGTTAAAAAAATACCCCCACCACTGAATTAAAAATATAATAATAAAACAAAAGATATATTATATGATATACTCTTGTAATAGCTTGCTGTATATACACCTGGAGTCATAAAGCTGCACAGACACTGGAAATAAATAAATAAATAAAATAAATAAAGCGACAATATTTCGACAATGCGTTCAAATATATTTCTTCGGGATGCCAAAACAAACAGACAAAAACTGCCTAAACCCCAAACCCTAAACCCTAAACCCTAATCTAGGGTTTGATGTTGGGGGTTTTAAGGCAACGGTGTTCACTGTGCGACTCCACAACTCCGCCCACCAACTCAAAACCCTAAGCGGTAGCCGGTAAGGAGTAGAGCCAAACCCTAAACCCTAGATGAGGGTTTAGGGTTTAGGGTTGGCGGCCTCGCATGGCTTTGATCCTGCTCTCTAGTTTAGTTTTCCAGGAAGAGCGGCGAGCCTCTTCGTGTGTCTGCTTTACTGCAGCAGCAGCGCTGTCTATACACCGCAGAAACTGAGAAGCAGCTAATTCTATTTCCTTTTCTGTGTGTTTAAATCTATTGCTAATGTCTATTAAATCTTCAGACAAATATACACGTGCACAAGGGCTGCAGCGGCAGCTCTCCCTCACTCCAACCTGCTGCTGCTCCTGCTGCTGCTGCTGCGGCTGCCGCGTACCTATACGGGAACGGCGGCTGTTGAGGAGGCGCTTTTGGTGCTGCTGGAAGGCCAGCTGCCCATACACCGCATGCTGCTGCAGCTCTTCGCGCTGCAGCAACAGCTGCTGTTGCTGCTGCATCAGCAACACAAGCGCAACCAACTGTAGCAGCAGCAGCAGCAGCATCCATCCCTGAAACTGAGAAGGAAAGAAAAGCTGCTTTACTGAAGCGAAAAGCTGCTGCATCTGCTTCCCTGCAAAAGCACCACCTGCTGCTGCTGCAGTGCTTGTTGCGCCTGCTGCTGTTGATGCTGCTGCGGTTTTCGTCGTTGTTGCTGCTGCTGCTGCTTCTGGTGCAGCAGATAAGTTTAGGCTGTCCCCAGAAGCTACAGATCCTGCAGTGGTTTCCCTCTCTAGAACATGGTCCCGGGGCAAGTTGCTGCTGCTGCTTCTGTTGCTGCTGCTGTTGCTGCATTCGCTGCTGCTGCTTCTGCTGCTGCTGCTCGGCGCGTGCTGCTGAACAATAGACTGGAGGGTAGATCGGGCCGATCCTGAGCCTACTTTTGCTCTCCCTTCATAACGTCCATCTGCTGTTGCTGCTTCTGCTGCTGCTGCAGCTGCTACTGCTACTGGTTGCTGGTGTTTGCTGTTGCCTTGCTGTTGCCGAGCCTTCGGAGGGCGCCGACGCAAAAAGTAGCCTCGAGGCGGACCTGCAGGACCAACAGCAGCAGCAACAACAATAACAGCAGCAGCAGCGGTAACTGAAGCGGGAGTTGCTGCAGCTAGAGTAGCAGCAGCAGCAGCAGCAGCAACTGTTAATGCATCAGGGGTCAAGACAGCAGATCCAACGGCCACTATAGGGATAAAATAAAGGCAAAGTTGGAAGGAAATATGCCTCAAAGCTGCATATACACCTCGAGGTGTGCAGACACCCGAGACACTCACTAGTAGCAACTGGAGGAGATGGCGTCATTGTGCAGCTTTCAGCTGAAGGAAGCTGCAATTAAAATTAAATTAAATATTGAATATCCGAGATAAACAATAAAAGTAGTAATAATATATTATCACTTCGTACACCTCCCTATACACCTCAGCGTACACACTCTGGTGCATAAGCACCGCAGTGGTACTCAAATTGAAGGTGTAGAAATATATTCAGCAAAGAAAGTACAAATAAAATATTATTAAAAATAAATTAAATCGTTTTAAACAAGAAATACAGCCATCAGGCTAGCACTGCTCGCAACAGCTACCTAGGGTGTATGTATGGGGCTATGTATCATCACATTACTACGGGGAAAATATTCATTATTTATCTTTCCTTCACAATAATTAAAGCCTAGTAAAAATAATAGACTTTTCTTTGATATTTTAATGTTATTTCAAGGATTTAATCTCACAGTCTTGCATATATATATACACTGCGTAGTCATCTATATAGACATACATACATACAACTGAATGCTAGTTAGAACTGCTAAAATAAAGGGGGGCCGTCTGTACGCCGGAAAGCCGAAGAAGAGCTAGGTAAAAAATATGAAATAATTTAAAGGAGAAACCCGCAGCCACCACCAATGCAGCAAGAGCAGCAACAGCAAGCAACAGCAGCAGCAGCAGCAGCAGCAGCAGCAGCCGCAGCGCCACAAGCAGCAGATATTGTTGCCTCTTGCGGTGTCTTGGCAGCTCATATCACTACTGAAGTTTTCTTGCTATACTTCATCTTCAGATGAGAGATGTATACTAACGCATGTTGATCATTACAACAATGGGCCTTACACCGCAAATGCCCTACTGTTAGCAAGCAATGCAATATTATATGATGTTGGTATTATATATACATATTTCTACTTCCGTGCAGGTTGGCTATTAATGGTTCAGTGACTGTTCAACAATTGTATGAAACGTTTATGCGTGTAACAAACGGGGCTTGAATATGGCTACGCTTGCATGCGGGGTCGAGTTGAGTTGAAGAGGGTGCTGCAACAAGTTATGTTGGTGAAGCTCACGATAGGCTATCTTCCCCAACTGACCCCCAGTCCCTTTGGCTGCTGTGGGCAGGTTGTGTGGAAGCTGGAAGGGAGCTCAGCCGCCCTTAAGGATCTAATGTCTTTACTGCAGCTCAAGACTACCCTCTGATTAACCAGGAGATCCTCGTTCTGCTTCTTCTTACTGCACAATTTAGAGGGACAGGCGCCAGCAGCGAGCGCCACCACGCTGCTGGCCTGCGTGGTGTCTTGCACCAGCCTGGGCGTGATGTTCGATTGATAATGAAGGCGCCTGCAGAAGAAAAGAAAGGCCCTTTATACATTCCTCATAAGACTTTAGCCAACACTTCACCCCTTTTCTCTGTCATATGTAGGAGGTTAATCAGGATCTGCTGTTAGGTGGGGAGGCGACCAACGGCTGGGACCCCGTCGCCTTGAAACAAACAAACAAACGCAAACACAAACAGAGTAACTGTATCCAACATGCTTAAAATGCTTCATCCAGATGCATAACAAAACGAGGGTTTAGTTCGCATATTACCATTATTATTATTTGACCCTTCTACGCTGAACAACTTCACCGTGATATCAGCATAAACATACTGCGGGTGACTCAGCGAGGTGCGCGCTTGAGTCCACCAGACGGCACCATTGAGCTCATCGCTGTCTATGTTCCGGAAAGCAATGAGAGTGCGCCTTTCAGAGCTTCGACTAGCACTTGTGTTCTCCAGGGTAAGCGGAGTTGAATCAGGACTTCAAGAAGAAAAGAAGGAGGAAGCTCTACTGTATTGCAGTGGTATTCATGGAAGTGACAGAGAAATGCATGCATTGCCGTCGGCGTGCTCTTAAGGAGGCAGCATTTTTTGAAGGTTCGAAGTAACAAACATCAGAGGGACAGCTGTGTTGTGCACAGTTAGAAAAATAGTCACCGCATGCACTAAATAACAAAGCGCTCCCAGCGGTCCAGCCACCCGCTGATGCCCAATGTTCCACCACATCAAACACAAGTACAGGACAGACGCAAACCTATTCCTAAGCTACAGTGCAGTCTCGCAACTTGAAGAAGAAGCTAAGCAACGAGCTGTCGCACTACTAAGAAACGGCGAAGCTCAAGCGTTAACTAACGCGTTGGGATACAACCCGGTCCCCCTTCTCTCCAATGGATCTACTCAAGAAAAACAAATATACATATATATATATATATATATATATATTGCATGCTCTCTGTCGCACGTTATGTTTCCGCTGTGATCAGTTCACACAGAAGACGGCTCAGAACGCTGTACATGCCCAGTGAAGAAAGAAGAAGCAGGCAGCAGCGGAGAGGCCTGCTGACCTGCAGCAGGAAAATGCAGGTGAGCAGCAGCAGTAACAGATCGAAGCAGCATCACAAGATGTCGCTAAGCCGTCTTTTATCCCGTGGCTATGTTTCTTTTTCTCTCCAGCGTTTCGAGCCCTAACTTCTCTTGTGCTCTGCTTTCCCTTGCTTGGCGTACTCATCCTTTGTGAGGCAGTCAGGCACACGAGGGTATGTGCTGCTTAGGAGGCAGATGTAGGGTGATCTGTCTGAAGTTGGTACTGGAGTTTTCCTTCGGTTCAGGGTGGGTAGTGAAGGTGAAGAAAGCGCCAAAAGGTGTTTTAGAGTGTCACTGCGCGCAGACAAGAAGGCTTCGTTTTGCTTTAATGTGGGGTTGCCTTGCGGTGTATGAGCAGCAGCAAACTGTAGTGTACAGCTACCAACAGTCTGCTCCTTCTCCGCAGCAGCCTCCCGCCCTTAAACAACGGCGCCTAGGAAGCGCTGAGACAGCGAGCGGAGATAAGCAGAAAACACCTCTTTATTCGTTGACTCTATTGGAGCAGCCTCCTACCCTTAAACAGTGGTGCCCATGAATCCCAGAGACGGCGAAGGAAACTCAGAAGAAAACTTTTTTCTTTATTGGTTGACTCTATTGAAGCTCCTGACTGCCTTCACTTAGCCAAGTACGATCGATGTGATGTTTCCCCCAACAATAGTATAAGTTTGGTTGGTGCTCTAGTGCACACTTTATGCTGCCTATACATTACAAAGGTGGGTAAGAAAATAAGTGTTTTTAACTGCATTTTTATGCTGCATTAAAACAACAACAGCTTCTACACTCTGACGCATTTCTTATCTCCCCTTGCGACGTCTGAGAGTGTGGGGGGGAGAGGGTTGCTGTTATGAGGTAATTTTCTTAAGGCTTCTTTCCATTAAATAACATTTTTAATGTTTCATATATTTAACTGGATTTAAATATTATATACAACCTTTTTTGATGTTTTTCGGCACAATTTACCCCCGCAAGAAGAGGGGCTGGGCTGCGGGGCTGACCCAGTGATAACGCACATGCTCGAAGAGAGGGAAGGGGTTTGAGGGTTTTGTCTGTTTGTTTTTCTGTGTTTGTTTAGAGCTAATTGAGTACTCATAGAGCACAAAAACCCAAAAAGGGCTTTATTTCAACCCCGCACCTCTCACCCCGGCCGGGGCACCGGGTCGGGTGTATAGGCAGCTCCAGCGCCTCTTTGTTTCTGCTTACCTCTCCCTACCTTCTTTAAGTGCTTTCCGAGGCGTAGAACATACAGCGTAGATAACATTTTGTGCTCTCTTTGTGTTGTTTCTCTCTAGATTGTATCCGTTTATACGGGGCCCCTTCATTCAGTTGCCTTGGGTTTGGGGGCCTCTAGAGTGTACTCCTTGCAGCTCTTGTCTACTCCTATCCTACGCCTCTCCCCTCTGTTTCTTCTTGCATGAGCTTTGCGCGCCTCAACCCTGGCGTCTGCTGCTGCTGCTCCTGCTGCTGCTGCTCCTGCTGCCTCCGCTGATTCCCTTACCCCCATGCTTTCAACACCAGGGGCTGCCCCTGCGGCAGCGGCTGCGGGGGCCCCTTGGGCCCCCCCTGGGGGCCCTTTGGGTAGGGTATACGGTCCTCGTAACGTGTTGTATGTACGTAACCTGTCTCCTCTAGTTACTGAGGAGCATCTGAAGGCAATCTTCTCGCACTGCGCTCAGCTGCTGCGCGTAGAGTTTAAACCACTTCCAGGGGCGTCCGGAGGCGGGAGATATTGCGAGCTTGAGTTTGCAGACAGTGCAGGCATCACAGCAGCCTCTCAGTTGAACGGCACGGAGTTGCTGGGTCTCCCTATGCAGGTTTCTGTGCTTAACCCTGGGGGCCCCACAGCAACCCCAGCTCCAGGAGCCGCGGGGGCCCCTGCTGAGAACCTTATGAGGCTTGTAACACCCTTGCCGACCCCTGCTGTTGCCGCTGCTACCCCTGTTGTCTTGCCGCCGCCTGTTCAGCCATTGGGAGGCATAGCAGCAGCAGCAGCAGCTGCTGCTGCTGCTGCTGGCGTGGCTGGAGGAGCAGCTCCACTGCTGGCAGCTCCTGCTGCCCTCGGACTCGCAGCAGCAAACCCAGCGTTAGCTGCTGCTGCTGCTGCTGCTGCACTCCCTACCACAGCTGCTGCGCTGCTGCCGGTTGCTGTGGGAGCTCCAGCTCCCGTTACAGCTGTTGAGATCGCTATGCAAAATCATCTAGCAAACCTGCAGGTGAGCTGCTGCTGCTGCTGCTGCACTTGCTGCTGCTGCTGTTGCAGTAGCTGTCGCTTTCGGTGCTGCTGCTGCTGCTGGTGCATTTGAGGCGAGAGGCGTTCTTCTGCCTGCGGGTTAGCTGGGGATCTGTTGGAGCGTCTCGCTGCTGCTGCTGCTGTTGGTGTTGCAGGCAGTGCAGGCTGCTGCAGCTCAAGCGAAGCAGCTAGCCGCGCGGAAGAAGAGTGAATTGGGTATAGGTGTTGCTGTAACAGCAGTAGACGGAAGGCTGCCACCTGCACAATCTCTTGTTTCTGGGGTGCTTGTTGCTGAGCCTGAGACAGAGCAGCTGGAGAGGACTTGCTTTATTGAAGGCTTTCCTAATGAGGTGAGACACAGACGCAACAGATACTGCAGGGCCCCCCTTCTTCTTGCTTCGCATCGAGCAGCAGCAGCAGCAGAAGCAGCATTCTTGTTCTGTTGTTATGTTGCTGACTCTGTGTTATTCATCTTCATTCCACTTCTTCTCGCCGGGCCTATGTGCACTTTGCTGCTGGTGCTGCTGCTGCTGCTTTTGCTTCTGCTGCTGCATCATTGGGTTTTGTGCTGCGTGTGACGGTGGTTTGTCTGTTGTTTATGTTCACTCATTATATTCGGGTGTGCATACACCTCAGCTACTGCGGGGTGTTAGGGTGTACGTACACCTCAGCTTGTTGGTGGCTGTGTGCTGCAGTACGATGAAAACGAAGTGAAAATGCTTCTCAGCGGCCTCGCGAAAGTTGTCTCTCTTAGACTCTCCACAAACCCCAAAACCCCCAAGTACTGCAAACCCTAAACCCTAAACCCTGAACACAAACCCTGTATCCTCAATGCAAACCCTAAACCCTAGCTAGGGCTAGATTTCTTCTTTGGGTAGACGTTGCAGGGGTCACTGTTAGCTGGCAGATATGGCAGCCTTTCGTTGCATGCAGCAGCAGCAGCAGCAGCAGCAGTAGCAGTAGCAGCAGCAACAGTAGCAGCAGCAGCAACAGTAGCAGCAACAGCCGCAGAAGCAGCAACAGCAGTAGCATCAGCAGCATCATCTGCAGCAGCGGTATCATCAGCAGCATCATCTGAAGCAGCAGCAGCAGCAGCGGTAGTAGCAGCAGCAGCAGCAGCAGATTATTTGCATGAGTGTTTGTTTGTTGCTGCTTCAGATATGCAATTGTTGAGTTTGAAACATCACAAGATGCAACGGGGATGTTGGCGTTAGATGGAAAAAATATTGGGCCCTCTGTTTTAAAGTGAGACGAATATTTTTTTTAACTTTGTTTGTTGCTTTTGTCTGTTACGAATGGTGTTCTATATATACCTATTATTGTCTATATATGTATATATATATATATATTTATATATATGTATATTTATACGTTTGTATTTATATTTATAATGTTTGTGCTTGCATGTCTTTTGATGATTTTAAAATGAGATAAATATATTCTTTTTCTTTACTTTGTTTGTTTCATCTGTCTGTTAGGAATGGCGTTCTTATATATCAATAACAAATGGGTAGCTATGTTTATATTTATATATCTATCTATGCTTATATATATATATATGCTTATAATTTGTTTTTGTGCTTGTGTTTGTTTGTTTTAGGGTTAAGCGCTCTTCGTCTTTGGTTTCCTTCCGCGACCCTGACGGTGTTTTGTTTGAAGTGCCGGCCCCTCCTATTTTATCTCAAATAAAGCAGCAGCAGCAGCTGCTGCAATCTCCAGAGCAGCAGAAGGAGCAGATTGAAATACGAGACAAGAAGATTGGTTCGTGCATTGATGCTTTTTGTCTCCTTATTCATCTCTGCTCTAGACTTCACTGTCTCTTCTTTGCTGTCTCTGCTTGTCTCTCTGTCTCTCTCTCTCTGTGTCTCTTTGTCTCTGTGTGTTTCTGTCTCCTTCTGTCTTTGTTTTGTTTCTGTCTCTGTCTTTGTCTATGTGTCTCGTTGTACTGTCGTTGCCACTACTGCTGCTGCTGTTGCTGCTGCTGCTGCTGCTGCGCCTGCTGTTTTGTCTCCTCCTTTACTTCGTCTCTGTTGGCGTGTGCATTTAAAGCATGTCGTGGTGTATTCGTGGTGCAGTTTGCTGCTGGTGCAGTTTGTTTGCTGCTGTTGCTGCAGTTTGTTTGCTGCTGTTGCTGCTGCTCACTCCTTCGCTGGGTGTTCTTCAGTTTGTCTTTCTGCTGTACGCATCCCCAATGTCTCTGTCTGTATTCTATTTTTTCTTTTTCTGTCTCGTTTTGTCTCTGATATTTGCTAAACTAATCCATTATATTATTCTTGTCTCTCGTTTTTTCATGCACTTCTTTGTGTCTCTGTTCTGTCTTTCTGCTGTTCTCCAGCTGCAGCAAGAGAGGCAATTGAGAGGCGGCTTCGCCGTGAGAGGGGAGACAAGGGGGCAGAGAAGGCCTTGGAGAAGGATAACGACAAGCAGCAGCAGCAGCAGCAGCAGCAACAGCAGCAACAACAGCAACAAACGAGGAGACGCTCCTATAGCAGAAGCAGAAGCACAAGCAAAAGCAGCAAGCGCGCCAGCCAAAGCAAAGAGAGAAGACTAAAAGATAGAAAGAAGTAAGGAGATTCAAAACGCTACAGACACAAATACACCAGCAGCAGCAGCAGCAGCAACAGCAGCAACAGAAGCTGCACTAGCAACCAGCAACAGCAACAGCAGCAGCAGCAGTTGTTGTTGTTCTCTGTTTGCTTTATTATTTGCTGCTGCAGAAGCGTTTCACGTTCCCCGAGTGCTCCGAGTCGTTCGATCTCGCCTTCAGGGGATGGGAGGCGGGGTGCTGCAGCAGCAGGAGAGGAAAGGAGGCCCCTTTTGAGGCCTATGGGGGCCCCTGGAGCAGCAGCAGCCCTCAAGGAGAAACTGCGGAGTGCTGCTACGGCTGAGGCAGAACAAGAGCGGGGGGAGGCGTCGCCGGAAAGGCGATCCCCAGCGCAAGGGAGACGATCGCGCAGCGCGAAAAGCCGATCCCGCAGCGCGAAAAGCCGATCCCACAGCCCCACAAGACGATCCCCGTCTCCAAAGGTACACGCGGGAAGCCCAGAAAGACGATCCCAGACGCCGCGGAGACGATCCCAATATGATAGGGAACGATCCCTGTCCTCTAGGGGACGATCCCCGCAACCAAGGCGGCGATCCCCGCCCAAGAGGCGATCCTTCTCCCCGGAACAAAGACGATCCCCGCTGCAGCATAGAGGATCCCCAGGGCAAGGGAGACGATCCGAGTCCCCGAAGAGACGATCCCCACCGCAGGAGAGAGGACGATCCCCATCTCCGAGAAGACGATCCCCGCTGCAGCAAAGACGATCCCAGTCCCCACGAAGACGGTCCCCGCTGCAGGGCAGACGGTCCCCAGTGCAGCAGAGACGATCCCTCTCCCCTAGGCGACGATCCCCAGGGGACCAAGGGGGGCGCTTGTCACCCCACAGACGCCCTTCAGGGTCTCCAGGAGACAAACGGGCTCGATCCCAAAGTCGATCCCCACCCCGTGTAGGGGCCGCAGCAGCAGGAGCAGGAGCGGGAGCAGCAGCAGGGCGTCTGAGGGGGGCGCCTCGCTCTCGTTCCCGATCCCGCAGCAGCGGTGGAGCCCGTGAGCGAGACTCAGTAGGAGGAGGTGTAGGAGCAGCTGCAGCTGCTGCTGCTGCGCGCAGTAGGCGGAGGGGCAGTTTGTCTCCTAAGCGCCACCACGACGCGTCAGCATCGGCCTCGCCTCCCCGGAGGAGACGATCCCGATCCCCATGGAGCCAAGGGAGACGATCGCAGTCTCTGAAGGGGCATTCCCAGTCCCCTGCATCACCAAGGAGGCCCCAAGCAAGCAGGGGGGCCCGCAAGGGGCCCCGCGGCAGCAGTAGCCGCTCTCCTTCTCCTGCATACCGGCGTAACCAGCCGTCTCCTTCGCCTGCACGAAGGAGACGATCCCGATCCCCTGGGGGGCCTCCTAGGGGCCCTGGAGGGCGCTCCTCGCCGGAATGGGGACCCCCAGGGGCCTCCCCTGCGTCGCGAGGGCATAGGGGGCCCCTCCCGTACCTGAAGGGCCCCTCACCTCGAAGAGGGGGCCCACCGCCGCATGCATATCCTGCTGGTCGGGATCGTTCGATCTCACCTCCAGGGAGGGGAAGGGGGGCCCCTATGGGGGAGCCTCTACCTCTAAAGAGAGGCAGAAGCCCCTCTCTAAATGTAAGGAGACGATCCCCCTCACCCAGAAGAGGAGAAATGCGCTCCTGGAGACGATCCCCGGAGTCCTCTTCTCGATCCCCACCGCGGCGATTCCCGTAAGCTGTCCATTCTGCTGCAGCTGCTGCTGCTGCTACTACTGCTGCTACTATTGCTGCTACTGCAACTGCTTGGGATTGTAGGATGCTGCCTGCTGGAGCGGCTGTTTCTTTCTGTTTTTGCAGCAGCATGTTGCTGCTGCAGCAGCAACATGCTGCTGCAGCAGCAACATGCTGCTGCAGCAGCAACAACATGAGTATATGCATCTCAGTGCATAACGGCGCATGCATTTTCTTTTTTTCTATTGCTCAGGCGGAGGATGTCTCCTGTTGGGCTGGGCCCCTACCCGAGGGGCCCCCCTGTCTCAAGTCTTGCCTTCCGAGATAGAGAAGCAGAATGGAGAGCTAGGGGCCCCATGCCAATGAATGTGGGGGGCCCCCGCCCCTATGATCGCGACCTCCGTCATATTAGAAAAACCCTCACCCTCCCTAGGAGGCCTCAGCAACCCAGGGGCCCCCCAGGACCTGCAGTTGATCGTTATAAGAGCCAAAGCAGGTAAGCGCTTCAACCCCAATTAGAGGATGTGGACGGGCCCCAGGGGCCCCCAAGCGACATAGCGAGGGGGGACCTCATTAGCGGGGGCCCCAGAGGAATGATTATTTCTTTCGGGAAGTGCATGCAATACTTGTTTTTGCTGCTGCTGCTGCTGGTTGTTTGCAGGTCTTTAAGCGAAGACAACGCGGGCGAGAGGGCGAGCTCTGCGGGGTCTCCTCGTCTTGCTGCTGCAGCGGGGTCCCCTGGTGCCGATGCAGCAGACAAAGCAGCAACAACAGCAGAAGCAGCTGCACAAGAAAGAGAGGGTGGCATGTCTTCTATCCGGGGAGACAGCAGAGAAAGGGGCCCCTCAGGGTCTCCGGAGAGGGGCCCCCCTTCCTCTTTGCCTCTTCATTCGCGTGTGGGGGATTTGAGGCGGCGGCTGCAGAGCAAACGAGCAGAGCCATCAGCTCAGCAGCAATAAAATATATACAAGATAAAGACCGCTCTGCACTCCTGTGTGTTTATAACCTCCTCCTTTACTATTACTATTATTATTATGTTATATACCTGTCTCTGTCTGTCCTTGTTGCATATCCTCGCCGCTGTCTTCTTTCTCTTTTTAATCTCATCTTCTCTGTCCCTCTTTGTCTTCCTCATGCTGAGCTAAACTGCCATCGCCCTCTATTTATCTGCCTCGAGGCGGTCTCTCTGAAGGCCCCTACAACTTCTTTATCTCGCTGTCTCTTCTTGTACAGGACCCCATGTATCCGTTTTGAAAATAAGCTGCTGCCTGCTGCTGCAGCAGCAGCAGCAGTAGCAACAACAACAGCACGCAACAACTAGCGGTTGGCAGTCTTTTTCATGGGCAAACAAGTAAAGGACATTGGAGGGCCATACTGATCCATGCTAGACGGGTAGGGGCCCCTATGGGGGCCCTATGGGGCCCCCCTTAGGGGGCCCTTAGGGGGTCTTATTAGGGTCTTTAGGGGGGCCCTCTTAGGCGCCCCATTGGGGGCTTTTTGGATTCCCCTTGGGGGCTCTTTGGGGGCCCCTATGGGCGCCCCATAGGGGTCTTTACGGGCCATGCTGGGGGCCCTTTGGGGGTCTTTCGGGGCTCGTATGGGGGCCCCATTGGGGTCTTTATGGGGGCCCTGTTTGGGGCCCTCAGAGGGCTCTCTGGGGGCCGTGTGGGGTTCTTAGAGTGCTCATTTATCGCCAAGCTGTATGCAGCCCGAGTGTCTGTTGCAATCTTCCTTTTATTTTAGCCCCCAGGGACCGTCTGCTGAAGCGCACGTCGCGCTGCAGCAGCAGCGGCAGTAGCAGGTGCTGCTGCTGCAGCAGCGCAACACAGCAGCAGCAGCAAGGCGCTGCAGGCCAGAGAGGCTTTGCACCGTTGCCGGGCGTCTGTAAAGGGGGACCCTTCGCTTGTGGGGGTGCCCTCTCACCTAGACAAGGGGCCCTCTATGGAGCTCGTTGACTGACAGACACCGCCATATGATATTCACATGTATACCTATTATCTATAATTGTTTATTTATATTTGCATCTATATATATATATATACGCCTCTTTATACGTACATATCTTTCTACAAGCGGATAGCCATGTCTATA